AGACTGTTCATCCAAGAGTTAAAAAAAAGAGGTCTACCTATCAGAACCTCAGGACCGGGATGTAGCTTTGGTGCCTTTGGTGAGTCTCATGGTAGGACATGATCTTTGTAAAGTGGCTTTAGCAACCCCAAATGACTTAGATCAGCACATGAACTCAGTGCTAAAATGAGTAAAAATAGATTGGGTGATGGGGGGGAGCAAAACAAACACACCCTTCTGCATCACTGGGAAGCAAATGTGGCAGAATTATAGAAAGTTAGAGTCCCTAGGGGAAAAGGTGAATGGAAAACCAAATGTAATTGTGTTGATGAGGCTTTGGAAGGCATAAGGACTGGCAGTTCACCACATGGGTAAAGAAAACAAAAAACAGGGAGGTACAGATGACTCCTACTGCACCCCTGCCATGGAGAGAAGTAGGTCTCCAAGGTAGGAACCTCTCCAGCCACTTCCTTAAGGAAGTGGCCAGGGACACCTGCAGGTGAAGACCATTGCAGTGACTGAAAGCCCCACGTTAAATTTTGGATTTATTGGTCTTTTATTAACGTTAAAAAATATTTGGGCTTGGATGGATGCAGGAAGTATGTGTACCTGGGTTCCCCAGAGTAACAGAGGCACTAGACATCAGTTAGTAAACATAGATATAAAACAATACAGGTTAAAGAAATTAAGTTTGAATGAAGGGTGGACAGCTATCTCCTAAGCAAACCGTGTACATTTATCACCTGAAACAGAAACTGTTCACCCAGCCAAGGAGGCAGGTACTACATAGCCAAGGAGGTGGGTGAATATGCCCCAAAGACCCTAGGCAACACTAAATAGCTAGGGCCAGCCAGCCTCATCAAGTTTATCAGAAGTAAGGGAAATGAAACAATGGCCTATGAAAGGGCCCCAGGATAAGGCAGCCAAATAATTTATAAAAATGGATAAAATCTTTTCATGTTGTATTAGACCTTGCTACCAGTTCATTTTAGTATCTTCTTAGATATCACCTTCTGTGATCACATGACACTTTCTTGGAATGGATGACAACAAATTTTCAAGGTTATCTCCATAACCCTACTATTCAGTATGGACTTTACAGTTCAGGATTGTACAACTGTTATCCTACCTATCTTCTATAAAAAGGTCTCTAACATGTAGACAACATAATGCTAACCCTTACATGTTTTCTTTGAAAATTGAGAAATTCATTTGAGAGAAATGCAAGTGCACCTAAAGGAGTAAAGATACAAAAAAAAAAAAAAAAAAAAAAATCTGGAGAGACGGCTTAGAGGTTAAGAGCACTGACGCACTGACTGCTCTTGCAAAGGACTCGGGTTCGATTCCCAGCACTCACATGGCAGCTACAAACTGTCCTTAACTTCAGTTGCAGAGGAATCCAAAGCTCTCTTTTGACCTCCACAGCACTGCACGACATGGGTACACTCACATACAAGCAGGCAATACACTCATACACATAAAATAAAAATGATAAATATTTTTTTTTAATCTATAAACAAGGGCATACTATAAAAGTGAAAAAAGACTCTCCTAAAAGCCATAATATTACTAAAAGTTCTAATACTAGGGGCTGCAGAGATGGTTCAACAGTTAAGAGCACAGACTCCTCTTGCAGAAGACTCAGTTTTGGGTCCCAGTACCCACGTGGTGGCTAACAACCATCCAGTTCCACCAGTCATCCTCTGGGAGCAGAGGGAAAAATAAAAAAGTATAAAGGTCCAGTACCCTACAGGAGTTAAAGGACCATAGTCAGACTTCTACAGCACTGCCTCCAAGGCTCAAGGGCCACTGCAGAAGAGGAAGTAGAAAGAATTTAAGAGTTAAAAGAGGGGTGGGTGGAATGTATATAGCAATTCTCTCTAAGATAAAACTTTCACCTTGGGGGGAAGCTCCTTAAGACCCAGGATATTCTACAGGGAGTGAAACTTCCTTCAGGGAAGCTCCTCAAGCTCAGAAAGTAAATAATTCAAAGGCTTCTAGAATGACCCCAAAGTGACCAGATACACTAGGTCCCTCCCTCCCTCCCCAAGTATATATAAGCAGTAAGGACTGCTAGCGGGCACTTTCAGGCCAGCTGAGCTGCCTAGAAGAGGCTTAGACCAACTGAATTGCTGGGAAAAGACACTCCAGCCTGGTGAGCTGCCTGCAGGTTGTGCACTATGCTCCAGATTTTCTGATTTCATGAGCTTTCACTCGTGCTGGGGTGGGCTTTTAGTGATGCAGCTATCTTTGAGTCATTTCTGCTCCTATAAATAACCCCTTACTTGCTCTGCAAGTAACCCCAATAAAACTCATTGTTTCAGGAAATTGGATTTTGGCTTTCTGGGGTGAGTAGACATTTCTTCACATCTTCCAAGGAAGAGTGTCACACAACAGACATAAACAAGAAGTCTAAGTTTTATTATAATCACTATTAGCGAACATAGGTATAACAAAGGCCATAAGGAACATTTTAAAAGCATTATAACACCAGGCATGGTGGCGCACGCCTTTAATCCCAGCACTCAGGAGGCAGAGGCAGGCCGATCTCTGTGAGTTCAAGGCCAGCCTGGTCTACATAGTAAGTTCCAGGACAGCTAGGGCTACAGGGAGACCCTGTCTCAAAAAGACCAAAAAAAAAAAAGCATTATAACATATTTGAAAATGTTATGACAGAAGTATTGCATTATAGATATTTACTTTAAAAAGAAAAAAAAATTTTTTGAGTGGGTCTTCTTGAGACAGGGTCTCCTTGTAGTCCCAGCTGGCCTGGAACTCTGTAGGCCAGGGTGGCCTTGAACTCAGAGATCCTGCCTGCCTCTGCCTTCTGAGTATAGGGATTAAAGGGGTGTGCAGCCACGTCCAGCTTATAAAAGGAAATTTTTAAAAGATAATTAAGAGATCAATCAATTATACAGCAGGGAGGGGAGAGAGAGACAGACAGAGACACACAGAGAGAGGCAGAGAGACAGATAAAGAGACCAAGAAAAAAGTGGTACTTGCCTGTCATCCTAGCACTTAAGAGGCAGAGCCAGGTCAGGAGGATCAAGAGATCAATTCTAGCCTGAGCTACTGAGGGAGACTCAAAAAACAGGAAATGAATACAGTGGTGGTACACATAGTGGTACATACCTGTAACCCCACAATTGGTCAAGGGAAGCAGACAGGAGGTTCACGACACCCTAAGTTCCAGGCATTAACCACCCCATACAGTCGTTTCATTCACAATGAAACCTTTCCTCAAGAATAAATAATACATTAAAGAGGGACCAAAAAAAAAAAATGAGAAGTACAAACAGAAAGAGGTAGTCACTATGAATTTTGAGAACTTCTGGAAGAAATGCTGGCAGTCTCTGCCGTACTGTTCATGAAGAACACAGTTAGAAAACAGTATTTACATAAATGTACCACCCGAAGAGAAAATCTTCTAGTAAACTTTTCAAAACACTTTGCTACTGATAAGCATGAATTCTTGAGCTTAATGTCCTAATAAGCTAGAGTAAACACAGTCCAAAATAAGCAAATTGGTCCACAGCTAAAAGAAAACCTTACTGAAAGTCACTGAAAACCTTAACAGCAGATAGCAACCAATGAGAATGTAACCTAAACAGTCTGTCCTTTCCTATGGTGGCTAAAAAAGTAACCTGACAGACTAGAAATGTATAAAACCAAAACAGCAACAGAAGTAGTATAAACATTATCTGATTGTGAATTTTTAATTTCCCATGAAAAAATTATTAGCTACACGCTGTAAATGAATCATACAAAAATTACAATATAGCTCAAATTACCTTCAAAAATTACCACAATAAAATAACTTATTTTTCCCTTGGCATATAATTTAAGCAGATGTAACACATCTATTAGGTTTCAAGAGAAGAACAAGAAAGATTAAGAATCTCCTTTATCTGGTATAGTGGTGCACATCTTTAATCCTACCACTCAGGAGACAAAACAGGCAGATCTCTATGAGATCAAGTGAAGCCATCCTAGTCTACACAGCGAGTTCCAGGCCATCTGGGGCTTGAGGAAGACCCTGTCTCAAAAAAACAAAGAAACAAAAAAGAATCTTCTTGTCTCAAAGAGATTCTATTCTCCGGCTCTTGTTTCCTTGCAACTCCATCTACTCAACTTTTGACTCAGCTGACGGGGTGATCAATTCTCTCCACTGCCTTCTGCCTCCTAAGAAGTCACAGTTGCTTCTGCCAACATGTTCTTCTGCAGGATAGACTTGCCACATCTTCACCTCTGAGATACCTCATGCCTATCATATCTCAGGGACCTATCACCTCTTCCTGCACTGTAGGTGAAAATCTTAAGCTCTGATTTTGAACCTCTTTTCTCTCCCAACCACTTTCTCTGTCATTAACACATAAAAATTTAGAAGCACTTTTGATGGCCTTCCCTTTCCCATCACATTCACTCAGTTGCTAATGTCAATCAATCAATAAACAATAACTGAGTATGTCAGATACTGCGAATAAAGAATGAATAAAACACATACTCAAAATATGCTTCATTAGCTTCTTTTAAAGCCTTCTATTCCCACTGACACCATTCTGAGGCTAACAAATCATTTTAACCTCTTCTAACTAGTTTCCACATCATGTTCTAGAAAAACTGTTTGCCCCAGAATACAAATGCCAATTGGCTTACAATGTTGTTGTTTATAGCCACAAAATGTATTACATTCCAAAATGTAACTCAAAGACAGCCTTGAAGAAAATCACACTTGGTCCTTCCAGTCATTCTCAAGTTCATGCTCAGTATAAGATGTGGACAGTGAACACAGAAGGTACTTAGGCTATTTTAACTGATCATTAAATGAACAAATACAAATATCACAAAATAAAATAAAACTTACCTTGAAGTGTTTGCATCATTTCTAGAAGTACAGGAGTAAGAGTCTGATTATATTCATGGAATATATCTATAAATAGTACTTCGGTGCAAGGCTAGAGGTAGAGGAAAAAAGAACAAATTCCAAATAAAGACAAAGCCATATTATATTAACTATTACAATAAAACAAAGGAAATTCATTATTAAAATCCTAAAACTGAGCCGGGCATGGTGGCACATGCCTTTAATCCCAGAACTCAGGAGGCAGAGGGCAGTGGATCTCTGTGAGTTCAAGGCCAGCCTGGTCTACATAGTGAGTTCTAGGACAGTTGAGGCTACAGGAAGACCCTGTCTCACAAAGACCAAACAGAAAGAAAGAAGAAAGAAAAAAAGGAAAACCCTAAACCTGAAAGTATTTCCAACTATTGTTTTTATTTTAAGGAAAACATGAGGCTCTGAGTTCAAAACCCACTACCATTTCTTTTAAAATACCTAACACAAAGGAAAATAAGATCAATTTATAATTTGAATGGTAACAAACAGGAAACATCTTTCATTATTTCAATCATTTGGCATAACATATTAAAGTACTTTTTAACTCACTAGAATTTAAAAGTCATTCTGCAATCATTCCATACTCATTAGACCTCAGTAATATGAGTAACTGAGCACTTAGGACTTAAAAATATTTTTTCTTAGAAATGATATAATGACCAATCACTTCAGTTCACAAATTAAGCATGAAAAGTAACATATCTTCAAACAGCACAGCCAGTAACAGAACCAGCTTGCTATATAAAGAATGCGTTATTTGGATTACTAAAAACAGTGAATCATTAAATGGTTACCAATACAAAGTAATTATAATTAATTGTTTAAAGACTCTTGCTTTATGTTTAAAACTCAGACTGTAATCTGTACAGATGGAATGATGTCATCTCAGTTATTTGCTTCAAAAAACTGGGGTGAAATGTACAAGAAATAAGACTAGACATGCCCTGGAAACCAATGAGACAGGTTAGTAGGAATGGCTTATCAGATTAGTCTATTGTTCTAATATTTCTGATCCTATCTATAAAATGAAGTTTTTAAAAATTAATGTGGGCCAGCAAGATGACTCAGCATATAAAAGTACTTGGACGGCACGTTTAAAAACCTGAGTTTGGGGGCTGGAGAGATGGCTCAGCGGTTAAGAGCACTGACTGCTCTTGCAGAGGACCCGGGTTTGATTCCCAGCACCCACACAGCGGCTAACGGACGATTCTTAACTCCAGTTCCAAGGGAATCCAACACCCTCTTTTGACCTCCGTGGCATTGCACGACACAGGTGCACTCAAACAGGTGCACTCACATACATGCAGGCAATACATTCATACACAGAAAATAAAATTAATAAATTTTTTAAAAATTATATACACACATATATACACACACCGGAGTTTGATTCCCAGAACCCACAATGGAAGAAAAACAACCTACTTCAAAAATTATCCTCTGACCTCCACATGCACAACATTAAAACACACCTACAAAAGACCTGTACATGTGCACACACACACAATAAATAAGTAAATAAATAAATAAATGTAATTTAATTTTTTACTTAAAAAGATACACACGAAAGGACTAGAAGAGTTGTTTCAGCAGTTAAGAGCACTCACTGCTCTTCCACAGGACCTGGGTTTGGCTCCCAGCACCCATGTTATGTGGCTCACAACTATAATTGCAGCTCCAAGGAATCTGACACCATCTTCTAGCCTCCATGGAAACTGTACTCACATACATAAATCCACAAACTGACATAATTTTTTTTGCATTTTTTGAATTTTTGTGTATTTCATACATAAAATCATCTTTATACCCCCTTCTCCTTTGGCACCCTTCCATAGCCCCCCCACCCCCCACTGGAGTTCATACACTGGCATTTGTATTAAGACCTATTGTGTAAAGTTGGTGTCCCAAACTGTCCCTCAGCTCAAGTTCATCCACCATGGTTTAGTCAGCCTATCTGGAATCTCTCCAAGAAGACCTGCTCTTTCTCACCCAGCAGTAATCACTGCCAATAATTCTTCGACTAAGATTGGGGCTTCCTGTTGGTTTCTACAGTTCTGTGCTAGGTTTCTGTCTGCCTAAGTCTGCATGGATCTTGTGCATGCTGTCACCACTGCTGTAAGGTTGCATAAGAAGGGTCAGGTGCCTGTTGGACCATTTCTATATGGTCATGCACCTCCTCCCTGGTTCTTACAATCTTCCTGCTTGCTCTTCCACAATGTTCCGAGCCGTGGGTGGGTGGATCTCAATACAGGAGACCTGTCCAATGACCCACACTCTGCCAACTCTCATTTGTAGGCTTTGTGTTCCTGGCCCTCTGCTGCATGAGGAAGCTTCATTGATAAGAACTGAAAGATGCATTAGTGTTCTCTTCATCCCTTGTTCTATGTTCTGTCAGTCTTAGGTGTAGAGGTTGCATCCTAAATGTGCCACTTAGGCTAGGGCAATTCACAGAGAATCTCTTGTGTGTGACCAGTGGTGTAACTCTACAAGAATCTCTGTCTGTTGAAAAAGAAGCTACTTTGATGGGTGGTGACTGGACTACCTGTCTGTAAATTTAGGGATCCAGTTTCCTACAAATTAAATTTGTCTAGGGATATGAGAGCCTTGAGTTTTCTCTAAGATCTATAACCTCTCCAACTATGTACATTTGGCTATTTACAATACCAGACATGAGTTTCCTCCCACTGAGTGGGCTTTAAGTCTAATTAGGTAGCTGTTGACTACCCCCAAGATAAAAGTGCCACTACTGCACCAATGTTGTTTGATGTGGTTTTCAGGCTTTGAAGCTAGGGTTGGACCATTAATTGATGTACCAGCTTACGTAGTGCTCTCCAAGGCTATGAGAGCTAGCCTTCAGGGGAGGTAGCTTCCAGATCAGTTCCAGCTCTACTGCTCCAAATCCTGTGTCCAAAGTATGTCCTGTCCATGGAAACTGTACTCACATACATAAACCCACAAACAGACATATATAATTTCAAACTTAAAAAAAAAAAAAAAAAAACGCCAATCAGAGGGCTGGATGATTCAGTGGTTAAAAGCAATGGCTCTTTCAGAAGAGGACCAGTGTTTGGTTCCATAACTCCAGTTCCAGGGTATCCGATGCCCTCAGCTGGCCTCTGTGGACTTGTATGACGTGTGCACTTAAATAAATGTTGGCAAACACTCATACACAGAAAATAAAAATTTTTTAAAAAGTTAAAAACCAACAAGTTACATAAAAATAGGTCTTAAAAAAAAAAGCTAATCATATTTTACAATTCCTAAAGGTAATACTTCTGCCTTATCAACAAATCTGTTTTAAAAGTAACTAAAAGCAATAGTCTGATCTCTAAGAATCATACTAGGTGGTAAGAGAAATAACTAACTGTATAAATGTATGAAACTGTCAAACAATAAAGGATTTTTTTTTTGAAGTATCAAAACTAGCTTTATCAAAGGGGAGGAAATCATTCTTGTGAAAAAGTGGCAGCTTTCATTTTCAAAAACATTTTCTGCTTACACAAAAACAACTGTTTCAAAACAACCTGATTAACAGATAAGGAAAATATCAGTTTGCACACAGATGATCAAAGCATAGAGAATAAAAGTCTGTGCAGTCTGGGTTCTTGGACAGGACTCCTATATTAAACTTTACCCACCCAGAGCTCAGGGACTATGCAGAAGAGGGGGCAAAAAGATTGTAAGAGCCAAGGAGGAGGTACATGACCATACTGAAATAAGAGTCTTACAGGCTCCGGGAACCTGGTTCATATGAAACTACAGCAATGATGCCAACATGTACAAGACCCATGCAAACCCAAGTAGACTACAACTCAGCACAGAGCAGTGGAAATAGGCAGCATGACCTAATCTTAGCTGAAGAACTATTGGCAGCTGAGTAATGCTAGGTAAGGAACAGTTAATCTTCTTAAAGGAAAGGATTCTAGATAGGTTGACTAGATCTCAGTGAATGAACCTGTAGACAGGTTGACTAGATCTCAGTGAATGAACTTGTACTGAGGGACATCTGGGGACACCAACTTGACTTGGTAAGCCTTAACATTAATGACAGAATGCATGACATCCAGTGCAGGTCTATGGGAGGGTGCCAATGGAGAAGGGGGTATAAAATGAATAGGATGCGCTGTATGACATACATGTAAATTCAATTTTAAAAAAAATTGGGGCTGGAGAAATGGCTCAGTGGCTAAGAACACTGGCTGTTCGTGCAGAAGACCCGAGTTTGAATCCCAGCACCCACATGGCAGCTAACAACTGTCTGTAACTCCAGTCCAAGGGGATCCGACAGCCTCTTTGTCCTCTGCGGGCACTGCGCAACATGGGTGCACTTACCTACATGCAAGCAATACACACGTACACATAAAAATAATAAATAAAATATTTTTTTTAAAAGGAAATTATCAGTTTGTAAGGCTTATCTTTTTTTTTAAAGATTTATTATTTTTACATTATGTTTATGAGTATTTTGCCTACATGTATGCAAGTGCACCATGTTCACAGGATGCCCATGGAGGTCAGAAAAGGGCACCAGGTCCACCAAAGTGGAGTTAACAACTATTTATTAGCCTACACGTGGGTGCTGGGAACCAAACCCGGGTCCTCTGAATGAACAGCCACTACTTTCAACCACTGAGCCATCTCTCCAGCCCCGGACAAGCCTCTTCTTAAAAGGAAAAATTCAGACTAAAATCCATAACATAATTTTCTCTGAAATACACTTCTAATTATAAGCAGTTAACTATCTGTCCAACTTACTTAAAGTTTGGAATCTCCAGTACACCAGAGCATTATCCTCCACTACATTTACCGCCTATTACTTTTTCTTCCAAGTAATACTCACCCTCAAACTGTATTTCCAAGAATCTCCTCCTGTTTCTTCCACTGCTGCAATGAAAAACATGACAAGTGATGTTCTCCAGGAATGCAAACATGATGTTTCCCAAAAGTTTCCTTTGGGAAAAAATATTTATATAACACCAACAGTATTTCTGTGAACTGTGTTCAGCCTAACCATAAGTACACATTATTGAGACTCCAGGTGGCACAGATTCCCTTATTTCAGCAACAGATTGTATCTGTGTACCTCACAATCGCCACCAAGTGTTTGTTATATTCCTTAGGGCCATTCTGCTTTCATGAAAAAATAATTGATGGGGAGGTGGGTGGAGACAGGGTCTCCTTGTAGCCCCAACTGATCTAGAACTCCTACATAGACCAAGCTGGCCTTGATTTCAGAGATCCACCAGCCGCTGCCCCTATAATTGCTGGGATCAAAGGCATGCGCCACCATGCCTGGGTCCTTAAAAACTTTCTGGAAAAAAAATCTTTCATGAAAAACAGTTCAAAGTTCCTATCATTTCTAACATAAATGGCATAACACCATACAGTATTACTGCAACCCTGAGATTATTTCAATTATTTCAATTAAGTCATTTTTCTCAAGTTAAAATTGGTCATACTTTTCATAAATTTCCTCTACACATTTAAGTTTGAGGTAAAATATTTTAGGACTTAAAAAAAAGCCTAGAAACTTAAGATTCTAGTTAAGAGAAATAAAAATAAATAGGGATGTATTATGCAGTATAATGCTCTATTTATAAATAAATAAATTTCTAAGTCCTTTGTGGAGGCATGGTGGCTCACACCTTTAATCCCAGCACTTGGGAGGCAGAGGCAGGTGGATGTCTGTGAGTTCTAGGCCAGCCTGGTCTACACAGTGAGTTCCAGGCCAGCTGTGGCTATAGGGAGACCCGGTCTCAAAAAGATGAAATAAATAAAAATTAATTTAAAAATTAATTTCTAAATGAAAGAAAGAAAAGGAAAATAAATGTCTCAGAAAGCTTAAGGCAATCTTAAAATACTAAAGAAACATATGGACATCTAGCTAAAGAAGTAAGAAGAAGCTACAGCCTATGTCCTGGTACAGTCAAAAAGAGTCACACAGAGACATTGTATGCACACATGTATACATTCATATGTACATGTGTGTATGTGTGTGTGGTGTGTGGGTGTGTCATGTGTGGGTGTGTCACTTATATAGGGGTATCCAGTTGTATAGAAGCCCAAAGTCTCTTCCTCAGTCACTAACATTCTATATTGAGGGCTGTCTCTCACTGAGCCCAGAGCTCCCTGTTTAGGCTAGTCTAGTGCCAGCTTGTTCCAGAAATTCCCTGTTTCTACCTCCTGCATGCTGGGATTACAGGTGGATCACTATACCACGTGATTTTTACATAGGTTTTGGGGATCCAAAGTGCAATCCTCATACTCTGAACAGCAAAACCTTTATTCAATGTGCCATCTCCCCAGCCCATACATAGTATTTCTTTGTTTTCTATAGCAAAGACTTTGACAGCCTTTTGCTACTCATCTATCAAGTACTAAAACTCAGACATAGAAAGAACTCTTATTGAGGGGCCCGGGGAAGAAAAAGGGCAAGTGCTTTAACCATTTAAACCATTGAAAAAAAAAAAAAAAAATTACCTTAGGGGCCTGCAAGATGTTTCAGGAGGTAAAGGCACCTAATGCCGAGCCTGACAACCTGAGATGATCCCTGGATTCCTGGAAACCATACGGTAGATGGAGAAAACCTCTAACCATGCACAAGCGCATGCACGCGGTGACACACACACACGTACTCAATAAATAAAATGTAATTTTTTTTTTTAAGTCTAGGGGTATAGATTAAGTAGCAGAATACACACTTAGTGCTTGTGAGGCCCTGGTTTTAATACAAAGCAGCACCTACTCATCACTATAAATAATCAATATATAATTTATTTCTAAAGCAAAAATTACTATAAGCAAAATATATATAACTAGCCGGATGTGGTGATACATACCTATAATCCCAACACTATGCAGGCAAAGGGAGGTAGAGCTCTATGAGAACAAGGCCAGCCTGGTAAACATAGCAAGTTGCAGGCCAGCTGAGGCAACAGGGAAACCCTGTCTCAAAAAAAAATTTATATATACACATATATAATATTATATAACTAGTCACAAAACAGAAAATGACCTGGATAAGATACAGCTAATTTTATAGTTTTGTTTAAAATTATACAAAGATAGCTAAAAACTGCAAAGGTCTCTTTCTGGACAAAACTTTGCTACATATCTGAAAAAGTCATTCATTTTCTGTTTCTCAGTTTGTTCCAAAAGATAAGAGAGAGGAAGATAATTTTAGAAGTACTGCATGCTAACCAATTACATCACTGAGCTCCAAAGTTAATTTTTAAAAAACTAAGATTTCTATATCAGAAATGCTGTATTAAAATGCAATGTTCAGCAGGGCATGATGGCACACGCCTTTAATCCCAGCACTCGCGAGGCAGAGGCAGGCGGAGCTCTGTGAGTTCAAGGCCAGCCTGGTCTACATAGTGTGTTCCAGGACAGCTGGGGCTACAGGGAGACCCTGTCTCAAAAAGAAAAGAAAAAAAAAAAAAAATCTAAAATGCAATGTTCTTGTCCCTATCATTCAAACACTTATCTGTTTAGGAAAAAGGGAGATGGGCCATGATAACACTGAAAAATTAATCCTTACTAAAGCCTTCTGGATCTTCTTCCCACATTGTCAGTTCTTCTTCAGTCAACAAAAAGTAATGAGAGACCAATCTTCTACATATCTCTGTCAGCGTGGGGTGAGTGAAGAACGCCATCTTGATTCTGTGGGCTTCAAGTGTTTCAGGGCTGCTGTCTAGAAAAGAAAGATTCCCAATCAGCGATATAGCCAAACATGCTATCTAAGTTGGACTATTTAACTACAAGAAAAATATACTTTCAGAAGAAAAGACATATTTGGGTATAAATCTCTTCATATTTGTTATAAACAAATTTCAAAACCACTCTCCCTTAGTGCTATATGCCCTACTACAGGTGACATATTACTGTGCTACCATTATCACAACATACTTACATAAAACCTCCACCCCATCCCTTTCTTTCCCTTTCCATTTCTACTTCCCTACATGACTTCCACGTTCATCTTGACACATGCGCATGAAAGCATTTCAAATAACACAGCAAACAATTTAGCCTTGTTTACAAACAACCTGACTTTATATGAAGTCAAAGAGAACTTTTGATTCGTTAAATGAGCTACTGCGGAAGGTAATTATTAAATTCTGTAAGTTTCAAGTGATCTGCTGTGCTGCTGTGCTACAAGACAGTTTACTAAATCTAAAAGCTTTTGTTTACTGTAAAGTTACTATTCATACAGTTTCTCAATTCATATCCCAGCAAGTTTATTTTTTGGAAATAAACTTGAAAAAAAATTATATAAAACAGTAACTTCAACAATTGAATTAAAAAATAAATTTAAGGTGGAACATTACCTTCAAAATTTTTGGATGGCTTATAAGAGTAATTTTTGACAATCATCTTGATAAGATTCATGCACTGGACAATAAAGCGTTCAAATGTAATGCCTTCGCCAACTTCAGTAAAAACATAGCTTACAGAAAATTCCAGTGATCTCTGAATTAGAGGAGTGAATGAAAAAGGGTGCTGATCCAGGAAGTCCAAGAGTACTTTAGTAAAAAGAATGATGATCTTTTCCAGTCTATCTCTACAAACGTTATCTGTACCTATATTTCTACTGCATTCCAGAAACTGCTTTAAACGTTCAAATATTCCATGTAAAAATCCCTATAAAGAAAACAAAAGGTATTTTCTGCAAAATCATGCTAGAGTATTTATCACTCCAATTACAAATTTACTCACAAATATTTAACAGGTTTAAAACCCTGGTGGGAACTCTGAGCATATCAGTTTCACATATACTGTAACCCTTCCTGGAATGTATTATAAAATGTATGGGTTTTTATTCCCACATCATACATCATAACAAGAATTATCTAGTATTTCAAACACAGGGACTAAAACGTGCATATCATAGGTAACTTGGTAAAAATGAGTAGATATGATATTAAGGGCATTAGGTATACAAAAGATAGGCTTTTTAAATTTTATTTATTTTTATTTTATGTGTATGTGTGTATTGCCTGCACATAGGTAAGATGTAGGTAAGTGCACCCGTGTCCTGCAATGCCCTCGGAGGTCAGAAGAGGCTATCGGATCCCTGAGACTGGAGTTACGGACAGCTGTTAGCTGCCATGTGAGTACTGGGATTCGAACCCAGGTCTTCTGCAAGAACAACCAGTGTTCTTAAATGCTAAGCCATCTCTACAGCCCCAAAAGGTGGACTTTTTCAAAGTGTGATCATGCTGATGGTGTGGTGATGTGGTGCATGGTGGTACATGCCTTTAATCCCAGCACTCAGGAGGCAGAGGCAGGCAGATCTCTATGAGTTCAAGGCCAGCCTGGTCTACATAGTGAGTTCCAGGACACCCATCACCTCCATATTCTTAGGAGGTTCCACAAATCCATTCACAGTTAACTTACGCAGCACTTTTAATGATAGTAGTGTTCGTTCTAGTGAACTTAGAACTGCAGCTTCATTGCCAGAAGCAATCTGTTGAAGGAATGTGTCCGTATGGTGATTCCACAGAGAGCACGCAAAATTATAATTAAGGGCATTAGGTATACAAAAGATAGGCTTTTTAAATTTTATTTATTTTTATTTTATGTGTATGTGTGTATTGCCTGCACATAGGTAAGATGTAGGTAAGTGCACCCGTGTCCTGCAATGCCCTCGGAGGTCAGAAGAGGCTATCGGATCCCTGAGACTGGAGTTACGGACAGCTGTTAGCTGCCATGTGAGTACTGGGATTCGAACCCAGGTCTTCTGCAAGAACAACCAGTGTTCTTAAATGCTAAGCCATCTCTACAGCCCCAAAAGGTGGACTTTTTCAAAGTGTGATCATGCTGATGGTGTGGTGATGTGGTGCATGGTGGTACATGCCTTTAATCCCAGCACTCAGGAGGCAGAGGCAGGCAGATCTCTATGAGTTCAAGGCCAGCCTGGTCTACATAGTGAGTTCCAGGACAGCTGGGGCTACAGGGAGACCCTGTCTCAAAAAGACCAAAAAACAAAGTGATCATAAAAGGAAGTAAATTTAAAAATAACATTTCTGTTCCTGTATGTACTGCATTTTGACATAACAAAAGCTGATCAGAGAAATTTCTTCTTTATAGAATTCCATCTAATAAAATAATATAATAGAACTAGAATACCATCATTTTTTAACTCCTTAAGTGGTCACCAATAGTGTTTGCACCCAGTGGAAAGGCTGCTGAAGTTTTCCCATCACACAGACAGACAGGCACATACTGTGCTTCCTGATATGATGGAGTATCAAGTGCACACCACTACCCAGGAAGTAATCTTATTATTTTAACCTCTCCCATGGAAAACAATGTGAATGTGACCAAGCTCCTCCATCTAACTACAAATGTTTAAGAAAAAGGAGGGGGAGGAGGAAGAGAAATGTAGAAACAAAAGAACAGGTTAAATAACACATGAGGATACAAGCAGTCAAATCAAACATGCTATAGGAAATTACTTGTTACCTTAACAAATAAATAGCAAGGGAAAAAAAGGACCAAGAATAGTGGTGTACACCTGTAATCCCAGCATTTAGGAAGCAGAGGCAGGAGGATGAGGTGTTCGAGATCATCCTCAGCTAGATATCATGTTCAGGACCATCTTGGGCTACATGAGACCCTGTCTTTAAAAATAAATAAATAAATAATAAATAAATAAATAAATAAATAAATAAATTAAATAAAGGCGGAAAGGAAGATAGGATGGCTAACTGACACTATTTGAATCTTATCTAGGATTTGTCTTAAGATAACCAGCAAAGCATGAAGGTAAGAGGACTGACCACACACTGACAATTGCTAATGCTGACTCCTGGCTTCATGGGGACTCAGCTATTCAACCTATTTAGCCTCATGTTTTAAGTGTTCCAATTTTTAAATTTTTTACAAAATTTTAGAGATTATGAATATAAATTTTGTAACTGAACTTACTGCTGTCAACTTGGAAAAGGAGAACAAACTGTAGAGCTAAGATAACTGGGAAACTAAATAGGCTAGTAATCAATGTGGCCTCGAAAAAGAAACCATATACATAATGCTGGCTGTCCATCTGCATGACTAGGACTAATGAGTAAGCTCCCAAAGCTCTTGAGCAGCCTTTATACTCCTGATGCTAACTAACAGCCATTGAAAATTACTGCCTAGGTCCATTATTTCCTTAGGAGTTACAAAATGATGACATTCTAATTATGTTATTCCTTTTACATTATTAGCTGTAATTTTTTCTAAAGAAATCTCCCTCAGCAACTATCTGATACTAAGCAGGGACTACAGTAGCAGGGATGCAGAGAAGGGCCAGTGACACACACTGCCCCTCTAACTTCATCATCCTGTTATACATTGTTTTAGGACTCTAAGCCAGGGCCGGGCAAGGTAGCATACACCTGTAATCCTTCTAGTTGGGAGGGCAAAGGTAGGTGGATCTCTATGAAATCAAAGTCAGCCTGGTCCACAGAGCTCTACGTCAGCTGGGCTACAGGGAGAACTTACCTAAAAATACAACTCTAAGTCAACTTTATATTGAATTTTGAAAAGGTTAAGTTGGTTTTGGCAGGCTACCCAGAATATAATAAGGGCAGTGTTAAAGGTACCAACTACCCAAACACAAAAATAAAAACAGCTATTTTGGCTCCTTTCCTCCCTTCTCAGTGAATAAACAAATCCAATTCTAATACTGAATCATCAATAAAAAACTAGATATTCTGATCTGTTCTCAAGCACCTATTCTGCATAGTCTCCAATTCGAGTCTTCCTAAGTGCTCTAACATAATTCCTTGTATTTCTTCCAATTCTCCAAGCCTCAAATTTCATAAAATATTTTATAAACTTAGCTTTATCAGACACTGATATTCCCTAATACAATCCATTCAAAAGATATGTAATATTTGCAGTGGTAATCTGAAAGCCATCATGAATACACTGACCTTCTGACACTATACTTTCCTGCTACATCTGAGCTACTTATGGCAGAGCTGCTGTTTTCTTTCTCTCTGCTTTTTGAAAGAATCAACTTTTCTAATATTGATTACAGTTGATTCTCTTTTCTTCCCCACAGTTGTGATGGTTTGAATGAGAATGTCCCTCATAGGTTCCAAGTATTTGGACATTCTGTCCCCAGTTGAGGGCACTGTTTGAGGAGGTTTTAGGAGATACAGCCTTACTAGAGGAAGAACATTACTGAGGGTGAGCTTTGAGAGTTCTTAAGCCTTGCTTCCTGTGCCTGCTTGAAGATGTGATCCCTTGGCTTCCTGCTCTGCTCCAGTGACATCTCTCCCACTATTATGGATTCTAATCCTCTGAACTGAAAGGTTAAATAAACTCTTCCTTCTATAAGTTGCCTTGGTCATGGTATTTTATCACAGCAACAGAAAAGCAACTAATACACCAGTGCTAGGATTAATGCATATTAGTCAAGTCTTCAACCACTGAGCTATACCTCCAGCTACAGTTGATTCTTCTACATCAAGATGACTTACACACTATGACATATGGCATATAAATTTAAATATTATACATTCTCTTAAGCTTTAAAGATACAAAGGTGATTTTTTTAAGCTCTCCTATGAACACTCAGTGTGTAAATTTCTTTATACATTAAAGTAAAAATTATTTTTAAAATAGTTTCCTTTCTAAATTTGAGCATGTATTATATCTGAGAAAATATACATAAAAAAGACAACTTACCACTTTAGTAAAAAGAATGATGATCTTTTCCAGTCTATCTCTACAAACATTATCTGTACCTATATTTCTACCTGTTAAAAATAATTTCAAGTTTTTAATGTTCTGTAAATTCACAAAGTACAATAATAAGTTGTATTTCTCACTATGAATTCATTACTGAAAAAACAAGATTTGTACCTAAGAAAACACATAACAATCATGTTACACTGAACAAAACTGATCCTAAAATATGAAGTAAATACATTTTAAGAGAATAACAATTTGAGCAAAAACTCATAAATCACATTTTCAAAGACTAAATCAGCTGGATTTTAAATATATCTTTTTTTTTTTTTTTCATCTTTTTGAGACAGGGTCTCCCTATAGCCCCAGCTGGCCTTTAACTCACTATGTAGACCAGGCTGGCCTTGAACCCACAAAGATTCAGCTGTCTCAGCCTTCCAAGTGCTGGGATTAAAGGCATACATCACCATGCCCCGCCTTGAAGTGTTTTCCAAGTAACATAATGCACCCAGAGAATAATATACTTAATATCATTTTCCCATATTTTACAACAAATTTGTTCTGGTAACTCTTCGAACTTAATTTTGTGCATGCAGAACGTTCATCAACTCATCAATTCCTGTACTCTCTAATCATTTTCTATATCTGTTCTCTCATTTACCTCGTTTACTAACTTCTATTCTTTCTTCTACTACTCCATTGGTGATGATCAGAGCAAAATTACCTGTTTTAAAAAATTATCTGGCAACAAATTCAATAAAGTATGTGCTAAATTAACAATGAGAGACAAAAGCAATCAACAACTCTAACAAGTGAGATTAAGATTCCCTTAGTCTGGGGCTGGAGAGATGGCTCAGCGGTTAAGAGCACTGACTACTCTTGCAGATGGAACCAGGTTCGATTCCCAGCACCCACATGGCAGCTATGAACCATCCTTAACTCCATTCCAGGGGAAT